ATATCTCCTTTGTCTTTCATTTAGATAACGCCAGAATATTATTACACTGAGTGTGTTGTAACATTTCTATTTTTCTTTAGTTAGCAAATTGCTTCCGTAATCATTTCACCGAGTACAGCTATGTCAGCGTGATCTTATTGCATTTGGCTTCAATGTCTGAAGTATCTGGGAGTTAAAAAAGTTTCCTGTTTTTGAGGCTTTGACAGTACCAGAGTGTATTCCTTAAATTTAGTGCGTGAGAAACATTACCTTCTGATTTTGGACCTTTTATCAAAGAATGGGCTGTGTTAGATTTTTATTCCAGCTCTAGCCACTTTGCATCCCATTCCCTGTTCTCATTAAGAGACAGAGATGGAGAGAGAGAGAGAGAGAGACAGAGAGATTTAGAGAAAGGTGAAAACGACAGACCTTGCTAAAAAAAAGTTCTGAAGGGATGTAGAAGTCAAGATTATAGGCAGCGAGGCCAGCGTCAGGGCCTGGTAGGGGTGGGGTCTTGTCAATCCAGGTAGACACTGCAGTGATATACAAACATGAACTGAGCAGAGAAGATGGGATAGGGGTGCAGGGGTAGAGAAGCATGCTCATGATGCAGCAGGTCAGAAAATGCTTCAGTAGGAGAATCAAGCTCGTTAAATGTTATACATAAACAACATGATGAGCATCAGGAATGGTTTGTAATTTCCCATGTTTTTGCTTAGCGCAGAATGTATCCACTCCTATGTATCGGATTACACATTACTACAGATATTGTGAATGAATACTCGGGAAAAATAGCCAATTGCAACATTTTTGCATTATGCGCTGCACATTCTCCCTGTGTCTGTGTGGCTTTCCTCTGGGTGCTCCGGTTTCCTCCCACAGCCCACAGATGTGCTGGTTAGGGTGGATTGGCCATGCTAAATTGCCCATAGTGCCTAGGGATGTACAGGTTAGGTGGATTGGCTGTGGGAAATGCAGGGTCACAGGGATAGGGTAAGGGGGCTGGGTCTGGGTAGGATGCTCTTTAGAGAGTTGGTGTGCACTTGGGCTGAATGGCCTGCTTCCACACTGTAGGGATTTAATGCAGTACATGATGAAATGCTGTTGTGCAACAGTGTAGCTACGTAAAACCAGGTAGCCTACCTTCAGGTGTTTGAATGTAGGCTACCTGGCTTTACCTAGTTACACTGTTGCACAACATGGGATTGGAATGGTCTGGTGGTTGCTTCTGACCAACACAGTCTTGATGGGCCAAAGGGCCTTTTTCTGTGCTGTAGGCTTCTATGACTCTATGACAGTGTCTACCTCTGTTCCTCAGAGACTACAGTGGGATGCTCCTCACCAACTGACACATTATCCCTGCACCTTTCTTCACTCCCTGTGAGACAGTGAGTCTCTTGAGCAATTGAGCTTGTGGAATATTGAAACAAAAGCAAAGTGCTTTGGATACTGGAAAATCCAAAATAAATCTCAAAGTGCTGGAGAAACTCAACAGATGTGGCAGCATCTGTGGAGAGAGAAACAGAGGTAACTGTTCAAGTCCAATAGGACTTCTTTCGGAATTCCCAAAAGAAAAGACATCATCATCATAGAATCATAGAATCCCGACAGTAAGGAAGGAGGCCATTCAGTCCATCAAGACCATACCAACTCTCTGAATAGCATCCCAAACAGAGCACACCCACCACCCCCCACCACAGTACCCCTGTAACCCTGTATTCCCCATGGCTAACCCACTTAGCCTGCACATACTATGGGCAATTTAGCATGGCCTATCCACCCTAACCTGCACATATTTGGATTGTGGGAAGAAACTGGAGTACGCAGGGGAAATACACGCAGACACAGGGAGAATGTACAAACTCCATATCGGACTCAAAATGTTAATTCAGTTTCTCTCCCCATAGTTAGTGCCAGACTTGCTGAGTTTCTCCAGCATTTGCACTTTTTTTTAAATATATGGAACTTTTGGTCATCAATGAAAGGGTTAGATATTTGACAGTAAGATTTCTAGTTCACAAAAAGTGCCAACATTTGTAGAGCCAACATTTTAGTTTTGCTTGAAACAGACCCTTCAATCCAACTCGTTCATGCTGACCATATTTCCCAAACTGAACTAGTCCTATTTGCCTGTGTTGGCCCATATCTCTAAATCTTTCCTATTCACGTACCTGTCCAAATGTGTTTTAAATGTCGTAACTGCACTTGTATCTACCACATTCTCTGGCAGTATGAGCCACCCTTTGTGTAAAAAACTCACTCAGAGATAGTTTTCTTCATGACCATCATGGTGTGAAATTTAATGATTGTTAATAACTATTAAATGCAAACAAGTCACAGTAAATTTAGTGAAAATTCTTATCATTGTATTTCTGTTGTAAGAATTTTATTAGAATAAACATGCACAACACTTAAGTAAAATCTGAAAAGGTACATTGCCTGCCTAGAATTGTACTACTGTTTGCCTCTTGTGGTTGCTGCCCATGTTTTTGGAAATATTTTGCCCTGTATGCCAGCCAATCATTTAGCTCGGTTTTATGGAGCATTAAGCCCAGGAACATGTTTTAAAGCTCTACTTCATTTCCCCTTGTCATCTTAATCAGGCTGAACTCCAGAAACTGCATTGTCTTTTTCCTAAGATGATAGGCCACATCTTCTGACATCCTCCATGTTTGGAAAACTTCTTTACCCATTTAAGTAAGCACTGCTAAGATGGGATCTACTTGTGCAAATTTACTATAGTCATCAGTTTCTGCCTTAAAGAACCAGATTGTTATTAAGTTCTGCTTATTTGCGTGAGTTAAATATCTATTTATTAGAGCAGTTGACCCAGATCACTGCAATGAATTTCCCAACAGATAGAATGATTTGTCACAAGCAATCGATTCTGAAACAAAGCTTCATCACGATGTTGCTTATTGGCTAGGCAACGCCAAGTCAACACAAAGTATTTTCACCCATAATCAAAATATAGTTGCATGGTTTCATGTGTTTTGACCTAATTCAATAATTGTGAAGTGTTGACTGAAGAAGTGGTTGGATTCTCCTTAATTCACTCAGCTTGTGTCTCCTGCTAATTTTCCATGTAAGTTGCTGCACCCCTCTCCAATCCATAAAGGAAGACTTTGGAATGCAGAAAGGGGCCATTATTAAACAAAAATCTATAGATAGCAACCTGAAAAAAAACTTGAATTTACTCAACATCTACAGCAATCTGAAAAAGGAAATAGAGTACTTAATTTTTATTATCCTTACTGTGAATGTATTGTGAACTGTAGAGCCAACATTTTAGTTTTGCTTGAAACAGACTCCTCAGTCCAAATCGTTCATGCTGACCATCTTTCCCAAACTAAACTAGTCCTATTTGCCTGTGTTTGGCCCGTATCTCTAAATCTTTCCTATTCACGTACCTGTCCAAATGTGTTTTAAATGTCGTAACTACACTTGTATCTACCACATTCTCTGGCAGTATGAGCCACCCTTTGTGTGAAAAACTCACTCAGAGATAGTAGGAACTGCTGATGCTGAAGTCTGAGATTTTCTGAAGATGGGTTCAGACCTGAAACATCAGCTTTCTTGCTCCTCTGATGCTGCCTGGCCTGCTGTGTTCATCCAGCTCCACACCTTGTTATCTTTGTGTGAAAAAGTGCCCCTCATGTCTTTTTTAAATCTTTCTCCCCTCACCTCAAAATTAAACCATCTAGTTTTGAACTCCGCTACCCGAGAGAAAAGACCTTTGCAGTTCACCTTATCTATGCCCCTCATGATTTTATAAACCTCTATAAAGTCACACCTCAGCCTCCTAAGCTCCAGTGAAAAAAGTCCCAGCCTATCCAGCCTCTCCTTATAACTCAAACCCTCCAGTCCCGGTAAGTGCTCAGGTGGTTATTTCAACTACTTTGGTCTGGATTGGTTTTAATGCCGAGAATATGTAGCTCACCTTCCAATGACCCGCCTCTGAAGAACAGAGCATTATTATTGGACAGCCAGACCTCATTATTCAGATACAGTGTGTGTGCATGGCATGTAGTTATGAGTGAGGGTAGAAATCCCCCACCAAAGGAGAAGGAAAGAATGTACCTTTGACGGAAAGTAAGAAAAGTCTCATTGTTACCAAAGTGAATTGTTTCCGAATTAACATGAAAAGCTGCACAAGAATGTGAGTAACTTAATATATTTCTAACAAAGCATCCAGTGCTGAATTATTGACATTCAGAGCTGAATTATTCACTAAAATAATGAAACACTCCTTTCTCTAATACAGTTACTCTGTTATTACAAAAGCCGTGCAAATAACTTATTTATGAGCTGGGAGACCGAATCTCATATAATATAACCCGAGTTTGATAACTCAAATTTGCTGATCCATTTGGATAATGTCTGTTTTGGTTTTCTTCTGTTCTGGTTTCTTAAGATTATAATTTCTGATTTTGTGAAATGTTTTATCACTGTCTGACAAGGATAAATTGACCTCCAGTCTGTTCACCTTGCACCACAATACACTTTCCCTAGCTTTCCTGTTTGTTCTGTCTGTTCTGTGCTCCATCGCATTGATGTAATTGCACTGCGCACAAACAATGTAACTTATTCATGCCACTCCATTAGCAGTTGGGGATGCTGTTAATCATATATCATCAAGGGTACATAGGACAATATAAATGCAGTTTCTCAGGTAGAGTTCTGATGCAGACACTTTATCAATGCTGCTTCAAGAACTGCTTCTTCTCTGCTGTTATCAGATTGCTGAATGGACCTCTCAAGTTTCAAATCCAATGTTGATCTTGCTTTCAGACACCTCCTGTGCAGCTGTAACTTTGTGTTCCTCGCTCTGTTCAAACACCCTGTGATCCGTATGTCCTTGTACGGTATGATCTGCCTGTACTGTGCGCAAAACAAAACTTTTCACTGTCGTTTTGGTACATGTGGCAATAATAAATCAAATCAAAATTGATGTCCAAACCAAACACGGTTGCAGTCAAAGTGCCAATGGTTCTCTAGGGAATTAACTTACACAAACTCACATGGGGGGAAGAGTTTAATTGGAGGTTCATCTGATTTTGCTGTTCATAAGCCCTGCAGAAATCATTGAGGAAATAACGTAAAATACTTAAATACAGCAGGTTACACTATTCTGCAGAAATGATGGTACGATATCAGAGCAAATGGTCAAAAGCTATTTTTAAAGTTTTCTCAGGCTCACAATAGAAAGGCATTCACTGTGGACCAGGCACAATTCTTAAAGAAACAGTCTATCAAAGTGTTATAAAGAAACCCGATTAATATTTAGAGATAATAAGGACTGCAGATACTGAAAGCCAGAGTCTATAGGTGTGAGGCTGGAAAGGCACAGCAGGTCAGACAGCATCAGGGGAGCAGGGAGGTCAATGTTTTGGGCAGAATGTTTCATCAGGACTGGGGAGGTGGGAAGGCAGCCTAGAAATAAATAAAGTGAGGAGCTGGGGAAGGGTAGGAGAGATGGTGATAGGTGGATGCAGGTAGGGTGTAATTGTCATTGGTCTATGAGAAGGGTGGAGCGGATGGGTGAGTATGAAGATGGACAGGTCAGGTCAGGTCAGGAGGGGAAGGGCTGGACAAGGGATAAGGCTGGGGGTGGAGGGATTTTGAAGCTGATGAAGTCAATATTCAGGCCATTGGGCTGTAAGCTCCCAAGGCAAAATATCAGGTGTTGTTCCTCCAGTTTATGTTTGGCCTCAGTCTGACAGTGGAGGAGGCCAAGGATGGACATGTCACCAGGGGAGTGGGAG